CCCAAAGAGCATCTTTTTCAGAATATTTTTTAGGCTTTGTAAGTACCTAAATACAATATTTTAGTTCTGGTTTTGGATTTGTGTTCTGTTCTGGACTAGATATCAGCTTCACCGCCGCGACAGGCCCGAGTTAATTTGATTTACCGTTTAAAGCCAAGATATACTGAGGTTGTATTTTCTGTATTGCTCAAAAATATTAAATATAAAAAATACCCAAATGTCAATGTTATGTGAAACGCCAATATATCTCTTGCCGATTAATTGCATTACATGACTCTGAGCTCCATGACACCTAATCAGTGGTGATAAACAACCCATATATCATCAGTTAAGAGAGTACTAGTGCAGTCTGATACTATTTGTCATCTCATAATTTTTTTGGTGACAGCAGGCCTCGTTAATGTCATTGATACTACACGTTACAGTAGCTCCATAACTTACAACAGGATCTTCAACACAATAATGACTATATATGACGTTCAGAAATGTGTTTTAGAATAGATGAGATCGATGAGAAACAAGCGGAAAGCTGGACGAGTCTGCGATGAAACACAATACGATCATATGGAAACTGATGATGGGAGATAGCTTCCAATTATTTAATGTCATTAATGTCATAGCCCGGGGTTTTGAGGACAGGGTTCCTGACACATGTTGGTGTGATCGGAAGCTCTTCATAGGATATTGGTTCGACATTGTATGGGGCAATATACTAGTATAGAACCAACACTGACAAATCCAGATACAATCCTGGAGGGTAAATGTCAATCAATCTCGAACGTTTCTTTATTACAACATAATAAAACGTCACCTACTTTTGAGATGATGATTATTATCTGAAAACGTATGCTTGACATTATTAAATTCTGCAGAAGTTGGCCGATTGCAATCTATAACGAGAGAAGAAAGATTCTGTAATTGATGAAACTCTTCCTCTGTTCGACGAATTCGACTACTTCCTAAGATCTTCCACAACAAAGAGTATTGTACATCAGAACCGGCTCGAAATAAAAGTTGAACCTGAAAATGTAATTATCTGATAAAATGTCTAATTTTGCTGTATATTTATTGAACCAAACCAAATTTACGATGATTTAATATTTGTAACCATCATAACCGATAACCGTTTGTTTGTGATGTATATGTTTCTCATGTGCACCTTTGGTGGATTTATTGAGAAATAACCGAATCTCTCCACTCGCGTGAGATGCTGTTAAGACAGGCCTCGCCGTTTCTCGATGATAAGATTGACTCGGCGAATTGTTTTTATGCTGTCATCCGAAATGTTACATTTATATCAAGGCGATCAAGGTATCGAGCTTAAACCAGATATATATTTTCACCTAAGAACTATACATGTATATGTATGATCCCGGTGTTATAGCCGGTTGTTTTGTGTGGAAAAACTATTTGGTGACTTCATCGAACAATATCTTTAAAAACATCCTCTGGAAATGAACCCTTCATTGATTTAAATTCTTGTCATGGAAACCGATATTTATGGGTTTTTTGTCCAAAATTGCTATAAAGCCAAATGCACAAGTTCATGTGTAGACTTATATATGTGCCGAGTTTGATCAAGAAATAGTGAACTATTTTGAATATTACCCTAGTTGACTTGTACCAATGTTCCCGTGCTTTTTCAGATGTGTGTGACGGGTGACAACGGTGGGGCAGGACACGCTCACCTTTTCGCGAACACCTGGTATCACTATTTGATGGTGATTCGTGGACATGATATGGTCGGAAACGTACAATCGACTCTGCTTTTGGAAAATGGACATGTTTCGTCGTTTTTGTTTGAGTGAGTGAGTGAGTTGAGTTTAACGCCGCTTTTAACAGTATTCCAGTTATATCACGGCGTGTCAGCTTAATGTAGGAGGAAAGCCCGAAGTGATGCAGGTCCCAGACGTTTACCACTTCGGTGAAACCCACGAGCACGGGTATGGTGCTGACAAACCTATAAACATAATCGGGGCGAACCGGGATTCGAACCCACAATCATAGGTTTCTGGCGTGTCCAAGGGACGCAACTCTGCACACCGAATTGCGGCGCCTTAGACGACTGGGCCACCCGTGCCCCCTTTTGTTTGAGTTATTCCCTCATTTGAACCTTAGTCAAGTGTGTTGTCATGGAAATCGGAAAAATAACAATTTCAAAATTTCATAAATAGCAAAAGGCCTTAGTTCATGCCTAGACTGATATCTGTGCAAACTTTGGTCAGTAAATATTGAACGGCGTGGACTTATTTTCCGAAAATCAAACGAGACGGACGAAAGGGTGGAGCTATTCCTTATATCCCCCTCCCACTTCAGGTTGGATAGAACTGCCGACCTTCCGCTCTTCTGGCAGACACACTCTCCCCAAGACCACGGGGGCATTTTTTATGAGTTGTAGTGAGTGAGTGAGTGAATGAGTATGGTTTTACGCCGCTTTTAGCAATATTCCAGCAATATCACGGCGGGGGACACCAGAAATAGGCTTCACACATTGTACCCATGTCGGGAATCGAACCCGGGTCTTCGGCGTGACGAGCGAACTTATGAGTTGTAACCATGATAATATGACATTTGACATTTATTATTGTCGTGACAATGCTTATTGAGTTAGTGAAGTAGGTTTAACAACACTTTAATCAGTATGTCACTTATATCAGCAGCTTGATGTGGAAGGAAAACACAATGTGGTGTAGGTATTACATGTTTACCACTTTGGTGAACCCCGTGAGAATGTGTACGGTGCTGACAATCCAAACATTATAATCGGGGCTAAACTGAGATCTGAATCAAGGGTTATAGGATCATGACACGCCTCAGTCTGCACAGAGCTTTGGAGGATTGGTGTGACTTGGGTTTGAAGCACCTTTGAACGCCGCTTTGAACAGTATTTCTGTTTCATCGCGGGGTGTCAGGTTAATGTGGGAAAATCTCATTGAAATCAGATCTTAGTTCTCGCTACCGCTAAACAAGGATCTGAGGACAGCCATTACGGGTCATGTCAGAACGACATATCGCATATCAGATCATGAAAGTGATAGTTGTAATGTGATTTTTGATCGTGCAACCTCGAAAAAAACACACTCAGGTCACAGGGTATTCCGAACGACAGTTATGGACTCTATGTCTGTATTCAGTCAATCTAAACCATTTATTAGCCATTCCAGAATGTTCTTTTGTTCAGCTATTATTTTTTTAATCGAGTATATGTCTAAATATGTTTCGAAGCGTAGTCGTCAGTTTGAAACTTATAATAATAAGCTGCCTTCTGATTGGCTATTGTCGACTTCTTGTTAGTCATTCCATTGGTCGGTCAAAATTCGCGAAAGGTCGTGTTAACGTTTTCGAGGTTGCATGATTAGAAAACACATTCCGACTGTCACTTTCAATATCTGGTAAGCGACGCTTTGATTGGTTGGATGAAAGGTCGTTCTGACATGACCCGTAATGGGATGTCCTCAGAACTTTGCAGTCTCATTAAAATCAGATCTACGTTCTCGCTGCCGCTAAACAAAGATCTGAGGACAGAACGGGTCCGGTCAGAACGACCTTTTGCGAACTTTGACGGACCACTGAAATGACTAACAAGAAGTCGACATCAGCCAATTAGAAAACACCTTTCTCGAGCTTTACGGCACTCGTTTCAACCTGGCGACTACACTTCCATTTCAGACTACGCTTGAAAAATATGTTGACACATTTCTCAATTAAAATTTTGAAAACTGAACAAACGAACATTCCGGAATGTCTAATATGTGGTTGAGATTGTATGGCGGTGCTTCCCATGTACTGTGCAACGCCTCCTCCGTTCAAATGTTGATCCCACGGAAGCGAGAGATAGACGAAAATTTTGATGGAATCAGTCGTACAGGCTGGATGTGTCGTTCGGAACGGATGTGTCGTTCGGAATACCCCGTGTTAACGTTTTCGAGGTTGCATGATTAGAAAGCACATTCCAACTGTCACTTTTAATATCTGGTAAGCGATGCTTTGATTGGTTGGATGAGAGGTCGCTCTGACGTCACCCGTATTGGTATGTCCTCAGATCTTTGTTTAGCGATAGCAAGAACTAAGATCTGATTTTAATGAGATTGAATGTGGGAGGAAAACCACTTTCGTGAAACCCACGAGCACGAGCACGAGCACGTGTGTGTGTGAGCATGTGTGCTTGTTCAATGTGTTCCCAGTTACATCACGGCGTCTCAACTGAGTGTTATGGAAAGCCCGAAGTGATTCAGTTCTCAGATGTTAACCACTTTGGTGAAATCCACGAGCACGTGCATGCGCGCTTGCACTTGTCGAGCCTAATGCCAGTGTTATAGTGCTAGACCACTGAGCTACCATGCCACAGTTCAACATGGACTCTGACATTTTACATGGTACTGACTCCAAGCTGACCAGTCGTTTTATCCTCATAACACCGAATGCCCGGCAGTGTAACAACCTCTTCCCGAGGCAAGGGAGTTAACCGACTATAAAAGTCCAATTCCACCCTTGCCGAAAGAGCCTGAAATGTCGTAGCTGGATCCTGGTGGCACCAGTGAATATTATGAGTTATGTCCCTTCTATGTGTCCCCCATATTGACCAATCAGATTCAACGAATCAGATTGAAAAGATTTGGAAAACATTTGTGGACAGTAGCCAGTACACATGCTTTGCAAATCCTGCAATCGACCAAAATCTGAAAGGCAGCGCCCATTTCAGAGCCCTGGAACCAAAGTCATCAATGGCAGGAACATGTGTGACCCCTTTCAGCTTCAGCACTGAAGGAGAAGTGTCTGGGCAGCGACCTAACACTAGTGGCCTAGCAGGGATTCAACGAACCCATTTCAAGTTTGCAAAACATATTCATAAATCTGTCACATTCAGGACAATGTTGTAGTTTTTCTACACATCAATAATGTCTTTCAGTGAAGATGACCAGTGTGTTAGTTAGGGACTTGTGACATTGCATCCAGCTGTGCTGCAGATATAACATGACAGAGACAACAAAATGCATTCGCAATATGTACAAAATGTTTAATAAAATGAGCATAAATATGACAACACTTGAAATAACTTACAATGTTTACATCAACAAGCTGATTTTAACTATTTTGTACATTTGTACGCAATGATGAAGAATTTGACCTAGCCTGACTTCATTTGAGTGATTTAACAATAGTTTCAAGAATCAAGAGCCATAACTAAGGCTGAAAAAAATTACAGTCTTGGTTCTCAGGCACCGCTCGCGTCATCATAAAGTCCGCCACACATTATTTTTATTTCCATTAAAAAAAATGTTTATATATTCCGCATCTCGAACACACGACCCCAGCAGTAAAATGCTCTAATACTTAATTTTTTCGGAATTATTGTATATTCTCAAATTGCCTGAGAACCAATTTTTTTATTTTATTAAGCCTAAGATGCATGATATTGCCGCCACACACCCTCCAGTTGGCTTACAATAGAATAAGCTGTAACAAAGAAAAGATAGCTCTAAAGCAGTGTGTGAAATACTTGTAGTGAACACACTTCATCTTAGATGTCAGAAGCTCAATGGCTAGTCTGACTGTTCATACAGTTATTGTGGTGTGACCCAGTCAAATACGTTACTAAATTCCACACTAATTCCATTAACGTTCATACGCATGGGGAGTAGTGTTAAAGATAGATTAGGCTTGTTCCAATTGGCACCACTTTCGGCAGTACAAATGCTTTGAGATATTCAAAACTATCATTATCTGTTAAATCAAATTTCATGACATATTTGCATATCAATTTAACAATCTAACATTCAACACTGAGACTATGTCTCTGTGTCTAGACCTAGACTGTACATGGTCTCTAGACAGTTAAACAGTTCCCAATCAAGGTGGGGGTACAGAGGACTATGACCTGTATTGTTTTTCATAAGGTACAGGTTTTCAAATCAGTTCCATTTTCTGGGACACTGTCATAAAAAATGTGCTGAAGATTCTTTTCTTCAAATTTGGTCATGAAAGATGTTGATAAAATTATGGAAATTATCCAAATGTACTTTGTCTCAAGGAGAAACTCTGAACTATAGCTGTTTGACTAGTACTACTGTCACTGAATTTCACACACTGCCTTGAATCATTCATACATCAATATCTACAAAATTACAGCCATACTACATATTTGTTCATAAACCAAAGGATCAGTGCACATATACTATATTATGCACAGTCTACCCAATTCACATGTCTGTGAGATACTGAATTTCTTTTGCCTTGGTACATCATGCATAATTTTTTGTTACAGTTGAAATGTTCAGTCTTAGCTGGTAGAACAGTATACGTGTTACCGCACATATTTCTTAAAGCAACAGCACAACGCATCTGAGACTGATTTACTGAACAGCAGTATATACATCATAGTAACAGAAAATGTTGAATAATGATAAATCATCACATATTCATGAAAAAGACTTGCAAGTTGTTTAGATGTCTGAACACCAGACACAAATAATTAGATTCAGCTTGTTCTTGAAAAAATAAATGAGTTGGAGCAAATCTACAGCACTAATGCATAGAGTAGTCTTAAGTTTTTAAATTAAATGAACAACCATACCAAATTCGGTTTTCTGAGTATGTCAGTCTCGAACCTTAAGATTAAATGTTTTACAATACCCTGTAAAGTCAGCTTCCACAGACTAAAGAATAACGTAAAGCATTTGCTGACAGAGATCGGTCCCACCATATCGCCAAGTCTGGGATACAGTTTCACTGTATGAGATATCTGACCACAGTTACAACAACATGTCTGTACAAACTCACTTATATATTTACAGAGTGACAATCAGTAACAAGTGTAGTTCGCTGGCTCCTATTTGGCTGACTGGGGAATCTGGGGTAATCCGAATTCATCAACAGGAACATCTCCCTGGAATTAACAAAACATATGGTTGATATGACATATATTCACACACCCACAAGCCACTTTGCTTATAGAACAGTAGTGTAAGGGAGGTAACTCATGAATGGGAAATAACGCTGGGCCAATCTGGGATTCGAACCAATGACCATAGGTTTCTCGGAGGCCTAATGGATGCAACTCTTGACAGCCCATTTTGGAGCAATGGACGACCTGGCATCATCCTGACCCAAAAGCATCATCCACATAGGTCAGGTGAAAAGGGGTAATGTCGCATTCAAGACTAGTTATCGATAAAGTGATGTGCATGCATGTGTGTCTGTGTGTAGTTGCTTGTACCAGTCCGGACTTCTGACGGTTAAATAGTGCAAGGATACTAAGATGCCATTCAACATAATATTATGGATACCCAAATCAGACACATTACACTGACATTTAGCATAATGTGACCAGGGGATCGAACAACTGATCTATTGCTCTCCAGGCTGATGTTCTATCCACTAAACCATGGAGGCAGCCCCATATTCATTAAAACATACTGGGAATAATCATTTTATTCCACTGCAAGCTTCGACCTTCTACTTGTTACTCATGATCATCCACACAAAACTATCATAGAGCTTTACTTATGTCATGTTCTGGTCAAAGGGAATTGCATAAATTATAGTATTTATGATTTAAGCTCTTTCATCATTCACCAAATGAATCTTCACCAAGGACTGGGAGTATGCCACGCACCATCCTATTAAACTCTAGTGGCACATCCTTGATTGTCCAGTGTATTATATCTGTATTACATTTTTACAACCACTATCCACCTTAGCTAGGTTTTGGAAAGTGAAGTCTTCACTTCAATCAGTCCTTAGCAGAGAATTTCTTTTGTTCATCATCTGTTCAAGGGAATAATCATTTTCCTGAGGAAAGGGAGTTTATTGACAATTGAAGTCTAGTTTACACCCTTGCCAAACTTGGCTGGAATTTCAAGGCTCTATCGCAGTGCAACCAGTGGCTAATAAGAGTTATGTCCCTTCTTGTCCCTCAAATTGACTAATCAGATTCTACCTCTAATATCACTTGCATTTGCTTCAAACAAAATGACGGCGCACAGTCAAGACAATCCGATTGATAATTAAAATCCATATTGTGATAAGTTGGGTCCTACATCACAAAGTGCATCAAATTGTGAGCACCTTGATTAAAAACATGAAAAGATTTGGAAAATATCTGTTGACATTGAGTTGGTGGTACACATTCCTTGCAAACCTTGCAAGTCTGCACGGCAGTTTACGAACCAGATGTCAAATTTGTTACGTGATTTTGATTGGTCTATGCATAGACTCGTTAGTCCAGCCAAAATATGACTCTATAAAGCCTAGTTAGGCAATGGTGGAAACAGGACTTCAACAGTCAGTTAACTCTCTTGCCTCGGGAAGTTGGGAAGTAATTTGATTAGACACATAGTTTTAGCACTGTGTTCTTCGGATCCTACTCAAAACTATTTCAGTAAATGGGTCCAGGGAATTTATCAAAATAGAATGGAGATATAATACACTGGGTAATGGAGGATGGTCTGTGGCACAGCAAGGTAAACCGTTGTTTACATTTTGTCCAGTACAAGTGGCACAGACACAGACACCAGCATCACCTACCCTCATGCTGTCTGCTCCAGGCTCGCCTGTAGGTGCTGACGGTGCACTGACAGCATCATCAAGATAAGAGGCGTCCTCATCCAGGCCAATCTCATCACCCAAGGCATCAAGCTCTGCCTCAAGCTCATCATCATCCACCTCCGGCATGCCATAACTCCGTCCCATGATCTCCTGGACCTCATTGGACTGATCCATGAGATCTTCCATCTCATCTTGCAGGTCCTAAAACATTTCAAACTGGCTATAGTAACATGTTTGTAAAATAGTTTCAGGGCTCTGTCACTCACCAAGAGGTTCCAAAGTGAATTGTCTTGCACCGTGACCAGTGAAATGGGTCTATGGTGGGATGTAGTTTGTTTCACATGAGATTTGTCTGTTGTTTGACACCGCACTCAGCAATATTCCGCCAAATGATGGCAGTCTGTAAGTAATCGAGTCTGGAGAAGTCAATTCAGTGATTGACATCATGAGCATCGATCCACGCAGTTGGGATCGATGACATGCATCAACCAAGTCATTGTTCCTGACTGCCTGATCCCATTAGCCACCTTTTACGACAAGCATGGGTTGCTGAAGAACTATTCTACCTCGGATCTTCAAGAATGATTTAATCATTCTACTTTTTAAACTTATTAAATATTGTTATGGTAACAAACATTCATGTAATGTATCCCCAAATCTTTACTGTGTTTGTTTGTTTCTTGTTAAATGACACACACAGCAATATTCCAGCATATGATGGCAGTCTTTAAGTTGTCAAGTTTGGACAAGAAAATCTAGTGACAGATATTATGAGCATCGATCTACGCATTTGGGATATAATGACATGGATCAACCATGTCAGCAAGTCTGACCACCCAGACCCATTCAATGCCTCCGAAGCCATCATGAGCTCAGCAAAATAACATTGCCTTATTCTTTAAAGGTTTCTCACCTCAATCTTGCCAATATCCATCGTCTTGTATTCTTTTTTAAACTGTTTAACTCCAACTTTCATGGCATCAACCTGTAGAAAACACAAACATTATAATACATTAAATCACCTGTTTAACATATCAGAGAGAGTGAGTGAGTGATGTTAAACATCGCTTTTAACAATATTCCAGTTATATCACGGTGTGTCAGCTGAATGTGATGAGAAAAGCCCAAAGTGATGCAGGTCTTAGATATTTAGCACTTTGGTAAAATCCATGGGCATGGGTATGGTGCTGACATACCTAGAAACAATACTGGGGTGAAACAAGAATCAAACCTATGATCACAGTGCCCAAGGGATACAACTCTGTACAGCGTATTGTGGCACTTTAGATGATTGCCTCATCAGTGCCCCTACATCATACACGAGCATATTACAAAAGTAGTTACTAATATAATTCTAGAAATTGTAGGCATAATATATGAAAGAAAACATATACATCCCTGAACGAAAAAAATAATATATTCATATTTCAAGAAATATGTTCATAATATTTCTAACTGAAAAGTGGTCACAAGCATCTTTAAGATGTAGTCTTCAATATTACTTACTGTTGTTCTGAGACAGACTTCTACTTACTGTTGTTCTTAGACTGACTTCCACTTTCTGTTGTTTTGGGAATGACCTCAACTGACTGTTGTTTTGAGACTGACTTCTAGATACTGTTGTTTTGAGACTGACTTCAACTGACTGTTGTTTTGAGACTGACGTCTACTGACTTGTTCTGAGACTGACTTCTACTTACTGTTATTCTGAGACTGACATCTACAAACTGTTGTTTTGAGACTGACTTCTACCTACTGCTGTTTGGAGTCTGACTTCTACTTACTGTTCTTTAGGGACTGACTTCTAGATACTGTTGTTTTGAGACAGACTTCTAGATACTGTTTTTTTTAGACTGACTTCTAGATACTGTTGTTTTGAGACTGACTTCTAGATACTGTTGTATTGAGACAGACTTCTAGATACTGTTGTTTTGAGACTGACTTCAACTGACTGTTGTTTTGAGACTGACTTCAACTGACTGTTGTTTTGAGACTGACGTCTACTGACTTGTTCTGAGACTGACTTCAACTGACTGTTGTTTTGAGACTGACTTCAACTGACTGTTGTTCTGAGACTGACTTCTACTTACTGTTATTCTGAGACTGACATCTACAAACTGTTGTTTTGAGACTGACTTATACCTACTGTTGTTCTGAGACTGACTTCTACTTACTGTTGTTTTGGGACTGACTTCTAGATACTGTTGTTTTGAGACAGACTTCTAGATACTGTTGTTTTGAGACTGACTTCTAGATACTGTTGTTTTGAGACTGACTTCTAGATACTGTTATTCTGAGACTGACATCTACAAACTGTTGTTTTTAGACTGACTTCTACCTACTGCTGTTTTGAGTCTGACTTCTACTTACTGTTGTTTTGGGACTGACTTCTAGATACTGTTGTTTTGAGACAGACTTCTAGATACTGTTGTTTTGAGACTGACTTCTAGATACTGTTGTTTTGAGACTGACTTCTAGATACTGTTGTTTTGAGACTTACTTCAACTGACTGTTGTTTTGAGTCTGACTTCTAGATACTGTTGTTTTGAGACTGACTTCTAGATACTGTTGTTTTGAGACTGACTTCTAGATACTGTTGTTTTGAGACTTACTTCAACTGACTGTTGTTTTGAGACTGACTTCTAGATACTGTTGTTTTGAGTCTGACTTCTAGATACTGTTGTTTTGAGTCTGACTTCTACTTACTGTTGTTTTGAGTCTGACTTCTACTTATTGTTGTTTTGAGACTGACTTCTAGATACTGTTGTTTTGAGACTGACTTCTAGATACTGTTGTTTTGAGACTTACTTCAACTGACTGTTGTTTTGAGACTGACTTCTAGATACTGTTGTTTTGAGTCTGACTTCTAGATACTGTTGTTTTGAGTCTGACTTCTAGATACTGTTGTTTTGAGTCTGACTTCTACTTACTGTTGTTTTGAGTCTGACTTCTACTTATTGTTGTTTTGAGTCTGACTTCTACTTACTGTTGTTTTGAGTCTGACTTCTACTTATTGTGGTTTTGAGACTGACATCTACAAACTGTTGTTTTTAGACTGACTTCTACCTACTGCTGTTTTGAGTCTGACTTCTACTTACTGTTGTTTTGGGACTGACTTCTAGATACTGTTGTTTTGAGACAGACTTCTAGATACTGTTGTTTTGAGACTGACTTCTAGATACTGTTGTTTTGAGACTGACTTCTAGATACTGTTGTTTTGAGACTTACTTCAACTGACTGTTGTTTTGAGTCTGACTTCTAGATACTGTTGTTTTGAGACTGACTTCTAGATACTGTTGTTTTGAGACTGACTTCTAGATACTGTTGTTTTGAGACTTACTTCAACTGACTGTTGTTTTGAGACTGACTTCTAGATACTGTTGTTTTGAGTCTGACTTCTACTTACTGTTGTTTTGAGTCTGACTTCTACTTATTGTTGTTTTGAGACTGACTTCTAGATACTGTTGTTTTGAGACTGACTTCTAGATACTGTTGTTTTGAGACTTACTTCAACTGACTGTTGTTTTGAGACTGACTTCTAGATACTGTTGTTTTGAGTCTGACTTCTAGATACTGTTGTTTTGAGTCTGACTTCTAGATACTGTTGTTTTGAGTCTGACTTCTACTTACTGTTGTTTTGAGTCTGACTTCTACTTATTGTTGTTTTGAGTCTGACTTCTACTTACTGTTGTTTTGAGTCTGACTTCTACTTATTGTTGTTTTGAGACTGACTTCTACTTACTGTTGTTTTGGTGTCCTTCATGGTTTGGATAGCGAAGTTCTGTTGTTCCAGGTTGAAGGACTGCTGCATCAGCTGGTCACGCTGACTTTCATACCTGGCAAGGAATCATGGCCATAAGTATTCATCAAGATCAAAGAAACACACGACCTGTCAGATTCATAACAAGCATTAACCTCATCTGTGATCATACATGAACACTAATCATTTTCAAAACTGGAACAACAGTATCTTACATCATGACACAGGCATCTGTATGATCTACAAATTACTAAATAATAATAGACGTAATAAACTGAATAATTTACAGCAAGAGGGTATAAATGTATTAAATCTATGGTACCAAACTTATGGTATGGTTTAAAGGAAGTCATCGAGCGATATCCAAAGGCTAGAGGAACACACATGCTGAAGCAACATGTGACCTACTATGTCACAATGGTTGAAGGTATCTCGCAAAACAAGGACATATGGGTAGTTAACCCCACAACCGCCGCCATGGTCTAATGGTAGAGTGTCTACCCGGAGAGCATAAGGGCCGGGCTTCGATCCTCGGCTGAGTCATACCAAAAGACACTAAAAGATGGTACTTGTTGTTACCCTACCTGGTGCTCAGCATCACGGGGCTAAAACAAGGACTGTTTGGCTCAGAGTCCATATAATTGGTCTGAGGGGATATTCATTTTACACTGAAGCATGGTATTTCAATGGGCTAGCACTATAAAATCGGCATTAGTCCGGACAAGTACATGCAGCCACACACACGTGCATGCACGTCACAAAGTGCAATAATCTTGGGTGAGTGAGTTAAACCCCATTTCACCTTCACCTCCCCTAGCTAACCCCACAACACTAAAAACAGGGCAATAATGTAGGCCTCATGTTAGCATGGAGCAACAACTTGTGAGAGTGCTCAACGACTACCTTTAATTTGGAACAGCTGGTTTTCCTTTTTCCATGCAGGTTAATACTGTTCAAAGTGTCGTCATGGTTACTCCCTATCACTGCCTATGTTCAAGTTTATAGTCTATGAAAGACTCCCTCACTGCTAATGATGACTGCTATAGCTGGGTGTTAACTTCAGATACAAAGTGCATAAATCGGTTCTCATCATCTATTCAATTGGTCATGTTGATACACAAAGAAACTTACATCTTTTTCTGTTTCAAAACCCTCATTGCCTTCTGTTTGACCATATTCTGCAAAGAAAAATCATAAATAACGCACAATACCCATGAATTCATTCAAGGCACAGTCACAACTATGTACAATCATGACTTTAAATATTTACAACACTGGAAAGAAAATGATAACAAATATGTCATACTATATTCCCTGTTTAGATAAAGAAAGCAACCAATTACAGATGAAATGGATTACATGTAGCCTACTTGAAGCAATGTCAAACATCATCTGTAGTCTTACGAAGTCACATTGTTTTTGCTCATTGTTTCAATACATATCTGCGAGAATACTACCCATGAAACTATCTAAAAGAGTAGATATTGTTCAAGAGCAGTCAACAACATAACAATTTTATCACTGCGGCATGCAAGTTTTAAAGTCTGGACAAGATTTGTTTGTTTGTTGTTTAACGCTTTACTCAACAATATTCTGGCTATATGACAGCAGTCTGAAAAATAATCGAGACTGGGCCAGACAACCCAGTGATTGACTTCATGAGCATCAATCCACGTAGTTGGGATACGATGACATGCATCAACAAAGTCAGTGAGCATGAGCACCCGATCCTGTTAGTAGGCTCTTACGTAAAGCATGGGTTGCTGAAGACCTATTCTACCCCGGATCTTCATGGGTCAAAGACTAACCACCAGTAAACATGGTAAAGGACTTTAAACTCCAAGCAAAACCAACAACCTAAACAACCCTGCAAGGTACAGCGGTTACTTGCTTGACTGGTTTCTCATTCTAATCGTGCACACTCACTTGTATGTATCACCAAATTTCAGTGTGAAGCATTGTTTTTATGACAAATGGATGTCACACACACTATCTGTGAAAAGGTGAAAAGTTGACCTGTAGCAAACAAATTAAGCTCTGAAGTTAACCAGCATTTTCTTGTCCTGTATTAATGTCTTCATTGAGTTTGCAGAATCAGACAGACATAATGCCATTTAGTCGGCACCAATGTGTTAAGTAGAGATCCAACAGCAAAAAAACACAAAGTCAGAGATCTACACCCCCATGACTATGTCGTTTGGCAACAATGCAGTTTACTGGGCGCAGCCTGAGCTCTACCATCCGCTCAATTACCACGCTCCAGTGACACTCACTTCACGAACCAACACTCCTTTTTGGTCTTAAGGAAACTTACATGTCTTTACGATCCAACACCCCTTTTCGGTCTTAGGGAAACTTACACGTCTTTATGATCCCACACCCCTGTTAGGTCCTTAGGGTTAGCTTGCTGAGGGCAAGGGTTAGCCATAAATTCTTACTTTTTCAAACGTTAATCAGTTTAATCCGATTGGTCGGTCATGTTGACATAAACAATGGCGGGTGTGGTTTCAAGAAAAGCTGAATGGGAGAGCGGACTGTGACGTCACACACATGCGCAATTCATTGTTTACTGAATTATGCATGCGTGTTAATAGGGTGCTAATCAAAATGCTAATGACCCGTTAAACGAGCACTGATTACATGTGATAGCGCTCGTGGTCTCGTGGTCCAGTGGTCATGGTGGAAGAACGTCAGCTAATTAACGCATTAATTAGCCAAGCTGTTAGAGCTCCCACAGCACTAAATGGATCTGAAAAAGTGCACCCGGTAAAGTGCACTACTCCCTGTTGTTTGTCATTCTTACCTTTGATGGACCATCTCTCATCTTCTTCATCTGATTCCTGTATTTGTTCAATTCTTGATCTAGCCGACTTATCTTCTTGTCAACCGAATCTCCTCGACTGTCAATCTGAAACAAGAATCACAAATTTGCTATTTGACGGACCAGATCCGGACATAACGCATGATTTCGCAATCGTAATGAATGGTAAGGGCTTCAAGTTCAACATTCATTATTCACGTTTTATCTTGTACATTCCTGTATTTGGCATGAACAACCACATGTTCTGATCGAGAGACTTCATAGTGACAATATGACTAATGATATATCTGAAAGCGAGAATGCAACGATAATCTTGATCTGACTATTTTCCTTTGCTAACAATATTTCTGTGATGTTTGTAACCAGTGTATTGCTATGTACATAACATATTTACATACGACTGACTACTGTCATCTTACTTACATTTGAAATACAATCTGTGAGATTCGGCGCAGGTTCCTTTGCTTTCCCCTTTCCAAATAGGCGATTCATGTTGAAGAGAAGAGCGAGCTGACACTCCGTTCGGTAAAGATGTCAACACCAACAATGGCGTCCACAGGTACTTCCTGTTTAGGGAGCGGTTATTGAAGTTTTGTGATATTAAACTGATATAGAACAAAATGTTTTTAAGAATCTGCTGTTTTAGTCTCACACTACTATAATATAACACTATATCCAACACTGGCTTTAGGTGACTACACACACAATCTACTGGCTAGATCGGTTTATTTTGGCGATTGCAAAGATTACTCCATGATTGCTGCTCATGTGATACTGGGTCATTTCAATCAGGCTCTGTGAGGTCATGACGTGTGTAAATAACGTTCCTAAATATAACATTGCGTCGTACACGGTACAGGTAGTTTCTCATGATCATGAATCAGGCATCACCGTAACTGTATGATTTTTTAACGCTTATTGTAGATCTACTACTTTCGTACGTATGAGGATGAAGATATCTTCATAGCTACCAGTACTGTCAAGAATCCATATAAGTGTCAGTTGGACAGATCTTCAACATTTCCTGAAAGAGAATGGAGTGTCAAGGTAGAGGGGTACCTGCTTCTTCCTTGAAGAGAGTTCATGGTTCTGACAGTGGCACTCCATCTGTTGGAATCTCTTCACAGAAACAGATGGAGGACTATTTCAAATGTAGAAAAGTAGTGGGAAAGGATGAACCACAAGATTTAACAAAGAATGATCAGCTGAATCAAGTACCCAAATGGAATATGTTACCATGGTTTCCAAGTAATATTAACCAAACAAGAGAGGTGACATCAATGACCCACGCAGGCATTCCTGGTTCGTTTATGAAAGAACACAATCAATCACATCACCACAGTGATACTACACTATTAAATGACAGAGGCCATGAAGAAGGGGACAAAAGAATGTTGTCTCATCTACCTCAGAAATTTACAGTTTCAAGTATGAATGTTCAAGCTGATTCCAGGAACTTTACCAAACAGAACCATTTCATATCAGATACCTCTCCACCTCCAGTTCCATATATTACCGGTACTGATAGTTCCACAACAAATGCTGGTATGCATGGAACTTTTGTTCCTTTTGATATGCTAAATCACAAAACTGAACCTGACTTTTTGTATTTGAGCCAGTCAGACTACTCTCAGAGAGCCCACCAATCAAATCAATCTTCAAGTACCATATCAGAATCAGACATTGTGAATTCTGGTACTGAAACTTGTGATGATTTGACAAACAGGTGCTTGAATATCAAGACAGAACATTCTCAAAGAGGTATTTACCTGTTTGTTCCAAAGTCTTCATCACCATCAGTGGCAGAGCGCTATATTTCTATTGAGAAGACACAGTGTGAGGAGCTAAGGGAGATAACCCTGCCTCCTAAGGTGGCATTTGTGTACAACCCACTCGAATATGCTTTTGAGCCTCACTACAACTTTGTTGAGAAGTTCTGCAACTCGAGGAAGCAGATCCTGTTCCTTGGCATGAACCCTGGTCCATGGGGAATGTCACAGAACGGGGTGAGTAGTGAGACCTGTTTAGTTGGTTTGTTGTTTGATGCTGCGTTTCAAATAACATTGACAGACCTTTGGGTATTTTTTATAGTTAATATTTTTAAGCAATACAAAAAATACAACCTCAGTATATCTTGGCTTTAAACGGTAAATCAAATTAACTCGACCTGTTGCGGCGGTGAAGCTGATATGGTCATGCATTTAGTCAAGGACAGAAGAACACAAATTCAAAACCAGAACCTACATATTGTAATTAGGTACTTACAAAGCCTAAATAATATTCTTATACGGATGCTCTTAGGGTGTGACGTCTCTTCTCCACTTCCCGCATGGTGCATTTGCAATTCAAACATATTTTGACTAAGGTGAGGTGAGGTGAAATGGGGTTTAACGTCCAAGATTATTGCACTTATATAGCCACGTGCATGCATGTGTTTGTGTGGCTGCTTGTACTAGTCTGGACTGATGCCGATTTATAGTGCTAGCTCACTGAGATACCATGCCGCAGTATAACATGAATATCCCACTCAGACACAGTATACTGACTCCCAGCCGACCAGTCCTTGTTTTAGCCCCTTAATGCCGAGCGCCAGATAGGGTAACAACAAGTACCATCTTTTAACATCTTTTGGTATGACGTGGCCGACGCTCTACCACTAGACCACGGAGGCAGTCAATTTTGAATAAGCTGTTCATGAGCTGTTCACAAGTCCTATGCATATAGCGCTCAGAGGATCTGTTGTTAAAATATTAGAGGTGTCTAGTTAGAAGGGCTAGGAAGTTAGAAGGCTAGTCTGTACTCTCGTCTGAGTGGAGGAGCTGGTGTACGAGGTGTCTGCCCTAATGTTTTGTTTGTTTGATGTTTAAAGCCGCACTCAGCAATGTTCCAGCTATATGACAGCAGTTTTGAAATAATCAAGTCTGGACCAGACAATCCAGTGATTGACATCATGAGCATTGATCTACACATTTGGGATACGATGACATGCATCAACCAAGTCAGAAAGCCTGATCACCCGATCCTGTTAATCGCCTCTTACGACAAGCATAGTCACCTTTTACGGCAAGCATGGGTTGCTGAAGACCTATAGCACAGATGTGTTACCATTGTTTTACTTGACACATGATTCCTGCGTATTTGATGCAATAATTTCCTGGAATACTCACAAAAGTGTTTGATACGAGTCATAGCTGATGCAGTACATTCATAAAGGAAATATGAATATATTTTCTTAAAGATACTTTCCACAACTCCGCTAATTATAAAATTACACTTATAAACTGTTTAAATTGATATAAGATAGTACAAACTCAACTGTATTAGTGTATTGGGGTAAAGAGTATCATGGCTTCCCAACCTTCAAAAATGCCCACCCATCTTTAGCATGCCTTCCTGGCTATCTGTAGTATTAAGGTGAATACAGTTGATATCTTCACAATATTTGTAATTTCTTGATTTTGATGTCTTTTGAATTGTTTTTCCAACTATTTATAGAAATGTGCTTGGCTACGAGTACTACACTGTACTAATGATGTCTATATTCTTTGCCAACGATACTTCCTGAGGAATTGTTTAGTTGTATGCTTTATGTTTCATGTAGGTGCCATTTGGTGAGAGCAGCATGGTGAGAGATTGGCTGAAGATACCTGGGGCTGTTCTCAAGCCATGTCCAGAACACCCGAAACGTCAGGTGACCGGACTCAATTGTACAAGGTCAGAGGTAAGATTCTGAGAAAATGAATTAAAGACAGACTTTTAGTATCAGAAAGGCGATTAAAACATGGCAGCTATCTATCATGTTTATCAAGAATAGCAATAAAAACAGTAGAAAGCATGATTTTTTTTTTTCATTTTTATTACCTAATTCGGCATTCTAGAGGTTTGGTGTTTTGTTTGTGTGTTGTTCAATGCCGCACTCAGCAATATTCCAGCTATATGGTTGATGCATGTCATCGATCCCAATTGCGTGGATCAATGCTCATGATATTAATCACTGGATTGTCTGGTCCAGACTCGATTATTTACAGACCGCCATCATATAGCTGGAATATTGCTGAGTGCGGCGTTAAACAACAAACCAACCAACCACAGACAGGTACAATTTTCACCTATTGTAAGTGATGATTCCTTCATTTTCAGGTTTCTGGGCGAAGGTTCTGGGGTTTCTTCCGCGACCTGTGTGGCAGCCCGGACACTTTCTTCACCAACTGCTTCGTGTACAACATGTGCCCATTTGCCTTCATGAGCGACACGGGCAAAAACATCACCCCGCCACAGATTGAGTCCAGGACTCTGAAGAGGATCAACGCTGCCTGTGACAAGGCATTGCTGGAAGTGTTAAAGCTTCTTGACATTACCACCATAGTTGGTGTGGGGAAATTTGCGTACAACCGTGCAAGGACAGTTTTACGAGTAAGCGGGATTGACAGTATTCGTACAGAGTGCATCATGCACCCCAGCCCTATCAACCCAGCAGCCAATAAGGGATGGAGTGACATTGTCAAGAAACAGTTGCAGGATCTAGATTTAATGGACACTATTGTGAATAAATAGTAACATGGCAGGAACTAGATTTAATGGACACTATTGTGAATGAATAGTAACATGGCCTCGTTTGTATTGTTGTTGAAAAATATATGAGGGTTTGGTTTAATGCCTCTTTGAACACTATTTCCGTTATGTGACTGTCAGCTTGATGTTCAGGTAAAGTCCAGAGTGATGCTGGGCTCAGATGAATGGACCGCAATAAGCGAAGTGTGTGCACACTTAGTGTGTTGACAGTGTTAGAAATTATCTTAATCCCAACAAGACAGTCGGGCAGGTGACCCATAGTGTTGCCTGCCCATCTTCAAAGTTACCTGCCCACATTCAGGCATTATAAATATTGAAAAATTGCAAAATCTAAGAGACAATTCACGTCTTGATTCAGTTAAAATAATGCAAACAGTTACTTGAGAATCTACTACGTGTTATGATAAAACTGAATGTGTAAATCTTAAAATTATCTGCCAGACAGTCAGGCAGGTGGAAGAAAATTTCATGTAGCCCGACAGAAAAGTCACCAGCCGCGGGCAGGCAGTTATTTCAGACACCGTGTGTAGATGTTTGTTTGTTGTTTAATGCCGCTCTCAGCAATATTCCAGCTATATGACGACGGTCTGTACATAATCGAGTCTGGACCAGACAATTCAGTGATTGAAAACATGAGCATCGATCCACGCAATTGGGATCGATGACATGCATCGCCTTTTACGACAAGCATAGTCGCATTTTACGGCAAGCATGGGTTGCTGAAGACCTATTCTACCCTGGATCTTCACGGGCTTTGGTTCCATTGAAAATGTGGTGGGTTTTAATCATTACGATGCACACTTAATGGGGCTGTGTCTCTGTTTGTAATCTGTGTGGCTATTGCTATTTAAATGTGTACATAGTTTGGTAGCTCTGCTGGTTTTCTTAGGCCTGAAACTCCTGCTTGTGGTGCCTGGACCCTGGTGTTATGTAATTAGGAGATAAACATACTGTGTTTTCAATGTACAGCTAGGTTACCTGTAGATTTAACCCTGCTAAATTGAATTTGGAACCGAACGCGCAGCGTGAGGTTTCAAATGTTAAATTTAGCGGGGTTAAATCTACAGGTAACCTAGCTCTACATTGAAAACACAGTATGTTTATCTCCATTCTACCATGACTAAATAAAACGCGAACTCTTTGGTGTTAGCAAACATACTGAGTGAAGCGGCAAGGGATGAATCCAGTGTTTTGAGTGGGTTATCGATCTGAATTACGGAATCACCGAACAAAATATGGCGCTGTATATACTCAAGCAGTTTGTTGACACCGTAATACTTCACTCGAACATATGACAGGCATTGAAAGCATATAAGCACGGCAACTTGGTAAGCTAACATGAGGTGGGCATTCCTAAAGAAAACAAGGCATGCTTTGCAAGGTTTTCGCTCTACATCACATGTCACCATTATGACGTCATATCGCTCATTGTGACGCAAAAGATATGACGTCACAGTCGTATACAGAAAAGCGCCAAAATTCCAAGCTTTCTGTTGTCTCCAAAACGTAAATACATTCCCTTTGTAGATTTCTAACGTGTTTTCTGCATGAAATGTATTGCCACACATCCTTTGAATACTGTAGTAACCGCATCTGTGCATTTTGTAACCTGTAATTGTTTAAATATGCCTACCGACAATGACTGAAAATAGTACTATTCTATGAATATTAGCTTCCGCGGTGATGCGGTCGTCAAACCAGCTGTTACAATCAGAGGGGGTTTATGGTGATTTAATAGCCTCTGATTGACCAATCAGAATCGAGTAAATTCCAAATTCATGGTAGAATAACCCTTATAGAACTCCAGCGATGTCATCCTATTGTTCTCCAGTCAGGTTTAAATCTCACATACAGGGATTTTATTTCATTTGGATCTTTTATATGCAAGTTCTGGTGATATTGTTCCATGTGAATGTCCATTGATAGAGATTTATTTTGCATTGGACACAATGTACTTCAGGAAATGCGTGGAAATCAAACCAATGTTTTCTGTATATTTTTCTATATTGAACTTGCAACCTTCGTTTCTGGAGCCCAGTGAGTGAACCACTAGGAAACAGGTGCTGATTAATCACAATGCTTGTAAGAATTTCTTTTTCAAGTACCGTACACCGGCAAGAGATAGTTTACGCCCCTTTCCTAAGGTTCATGGAAAGTATGTTTGAAACATAAAATTGTTGATAAATATTGATTATTTTTTCGATTAAGTTTGATGAAACCTTCCTTTCAGATTTTTAATGAGATTTAAATCTCTTGAATTTGGGTTTTTGATCTCATGTAAACAATTGTTTTATCCCATACATAAACCCTATGTTTAAGCTTGCTGGTGACTGGTGTTGTGACCTGTACACCTTTTTGTTTGTGTCAAAAATGTAATATTCAATACGGCTGTCACTTAAAGGCCCGAGTATTTCTCCCATGGAAGAAAAATATTAGCCTAGCCCATGCTCACCAAGCAGAGGGGTGACTGAAATATGAGTCTGATAGAGATCTCTGCTTTGGCCATGGGGCTGTGTAGGCGTGTGCCGTATGTCACCGCATGGCACCTCTAATGTAAATTTAGTGGAGAAAAGAATGATGAAAATTCTACAGAAAATGTTCCTAAAATTTGTTGAAAAAACATTTTAAGTAATTATTTTTTGTCAATGAATACAAAATATCTTTGTGTATGTTGTTTTTATGACAATAGGAAATCAGCATAAGAATTCCATTATTTGAATGTTGAATCTATTCAACTTCTGTTACATTCTTTCCTTCTTTTCATTGATAGTATTTGTATTGTATGTATACTGAATATTAATGAGGAACAAGATTACATTATTAAAATAATCATACCTTTTTATAGAAATGAACAAAATGGACCAAATTCTGCACCAGTTATCAATCATTCCAAAGAATAATGTTCTATACATTCTCCCACTGATGTCCGACATACTCCTCCCTGTCAGTCTTAGGCATCCATTGTCTTGTTTTCTGGATAACACAGTTAGGCATGATGTCCCTCCTATGGCACCTGTAGTATGTCATCCTTCTGTCTTGTCTCAGAGCTGAACATTTCCTGGCTAAATATCGTGGATCACGCCACACATTCCTGTTTCAGAGTAATGTCCAATATTTCTTATATAGTACCTTCCGGAATTGACGGTTTCTAACGCTAGGAAAGGCATTCTGAGATGGCATCCAAGACTGTCTGTACTGTTCATGTGTAATGCATGGATTGCATAAACAGTGGGGGCATTCGTGATCCCCATCTCCTCCTTGGTCAGCTGGGATAGGGGCATGTAAATCATCCCCTTCACGGTCATCACTCCTTTCACTGTTGTCTCTGTTATCTTCTGATGTCATTTGTGGGTTATTAGATGATGTGCAGTTCCGATCTCCAGCATGATCAGCAGGCAATGCACGTTTCAGTTCCTAACCATGGTGTGTAAATATACCATCTATGATCTCTTCCATTTCGTCAGTAACCAACAGGCATAAAACATGACGGTTTTCCATTTTCTTCTTGCTTGTGAGAGATTACAAAATGGTACCTTCTAGTGAGATGTTCAAGACACTATATGGCAAGCATATTGGCTATTGTAGTTAAACGAGCATTGTTTTGTTTATGACCCTTCCCATTTCCTTAGGAAAACTGTCTGTCCCAGGAATGACCGCTATCAATTAGTCTGGAGGAAGTGTCATTCAACTGTAATGACCAGTTTGCAATATTTCAGTTTAATGAATCTTCCTTATCTTGACAAAAAATGTAACATCACCTCTTGGCATTTCCTGTTTAATTATGTCTTGGCATTTTCCCAGGACCATAGAAATTATAGACCATATGACAAAAACTGCAGTCTGTATTTTGCTTCATACAAGACAAGACACATCAGTGAATCGCAATACTAGTCATGGATCCTGGAAAGAAATCGGTATATAACAGCACCCATCGAAAGTATGGCAGGCAAGAGAGATTCAACCTGGAACTTCAGTGTGGTGGGGATGTGAAGGACAGGATAAAGAGGAAGATGTGCAGAGTAAAAGAAATTATTACAGGCAATATGCAGGGTCTGAGAGTGAACAATGCAGAAGCCATTGAAAGGATTTTGGACTTGTACATAAATACGCACACAAAGGATGCAGATGAAGCTATGGAAGATGCACCTGACATGACACCAAACTACAGCACTACCGACATGGGGGATGTCAATCAGTGCATATTTATGACAGCAGTTCAGTCCGTGGATACACTTGCAAATATGACTGCTGATCATGTAAGAACTTGCAGAAATGCAAAGTTCTCTGCAGTTAAAAAGTACTGCCGTGGACATGCAGCGGTTTTGGATATATCCTGTGAGACCTGCAACACATCTCTCGCCCCATGGGCATCATCACCATACCTCCCAAATCAAAAGTTTCTCATCAACTATAGAATGGCCCATGGATACTTCTGTAGTGGAATGCTCCATGTCCAATACTGGACATGTATCTCTTGGGTATATGCGAGAAAATATGCAAGGTGATGAAACTGTCTAATAACAACTGTGTGGCAGCGGAATATCAAGACAGCTGTGACAATGCTTTGAGAGAAGAAATCGGCATCACGTTCATGTCAGATCAGGATGCTGAGGCAGGAATTGACATTATGACCGATGCGCGACACGGATGGCGTAAGAACTCTCAGCACACGGATGTTGTGTGCATAGGAATAAATAGCCATCAAGTTCTAAGAGACGAAATTGTTACCAAGGAGGAGGAGGATTCAGTGTCACAGCGCCATGAACGACTCGGTACGGAGAGGATCTATACCTATCTGGAGACGCACCCAGATGGACCTGTATCTGTGAGAGTGCATGCCCATGACAGAAACATGTCAATAAACAAGTACATTCGGACACACCAGCATCTCACTCTCAACCAGAATGACACCTGGCATGCCTTGAAAGCTGTGGAAAGAGAGCTAAAGAAACTTTCCAGTGGATCTCAGCACAGACATGGTGTCACGTGGCATGAAGAGCTGAGTGACAAAACATCTTCAATTAGAACACACATTAATTACGCTTTGAGGAATTCAGAGGGAGTTGAAATAAAATTTAAATCTTCCGTAGATAATATTGTAAATCATTACAAAAATGTGCATGATAGATGCAATCCTACTTCCCGGTGCAGAAGAGAGAAAAATTATGAACCATCAAAGATAATTATAACTGATCCGAAAGCAGAAAAATTGTTAGCTGTTGCACTTCAAAACAGTCTTATTTATAAACATCCAAAAGATTTTCTTTCAGCAATAGACACTGCATATGTAGAATCTTTCAACAATGTAATGAATGTATTTCACCATAAACGTGTATCATTTGGCAAATCTGAATATTTTAGGAGAAGTCATTCGGCCGTTTTACATTGGAATGAGAATGTAGATAGGGTCTCCACCAGTGAATGGTGCCACCTGCCAGAAGACTGGCCCCTAAACTGTGTGGTCACAGGAATGCACCAGGAAAGAAAAGATTGGTCAAACCCAGCTATAATTATCAAAATGCTATTTGGAGTCATTTTATGAGAAAGCTTTATCCATAGTTATTCACATTAGGAATTCCTTTCTGTCAATAGGTATGCAAGAAAATTACTAGCAATCGTG